CAGAGGCCGGACTGCGTTCCTGTCTGCAGTGGCGACAAGCAGGATCACCCAGCGTTGAGAATCCCACAGGAACCGCGGAGGCATCGGCAGGGAGACACGCAGGGAAAAGGCTATGAAACCCCCCCACGACACCTCCACATCCTCACATGCCTTTGAGAGGGGTCATTTTCACTTAGTGGCATCAAAAAAAAAAAAAAAAAAAGAGAGAAAAAGGAAGAATTCCCCAACCCCAACTTCACAGCTGTTTTTGAAACGGGAAAAAGCCAAGATAAACTGTGGCTAGCCGTAAGAACAGGAACATGGAGGCTGCTGCCTGCAGCCCTTTGTGCCAAGATCAGCACTTCAGGGCTCACGTGCAGGAAAGGAAACAGTCACAATGTGACACTTGGGCTTCCCACCACTCACATCGAGCGTTTGGACGCTCTAGAGGTGAGGCTCCGACTGGGCCAGCAGCCGCCAAGCTCCAAAAGTCCTGCCAGGCCCCTCAGAGCCCACGGATCTTGTTAAGGCAAGGACAGGGGCAATCCTCACCCTCCAGCGAGGCAGCACGGGCAGTCACTGGGAAACCTGCAAGCAGCTACGCGCCCTTCCCTGGCGCACCTTGGCCAGGGAGGAGCACAGGAAAAGCCCTGGGAGCCTAAAGCATCCCTCATCAGGCAGGGAATGGGGACAAGAGCCCTCCAAACGACTAGGCCATGGAGCAGCTTTCCCAGGGGAGCCTACTAGGGTTTATTTTTCTTACACTTCCTAGAGCTTCCTTGCCAACATAGCCAAAACCGTTGTAAAAAGTAGGACAAAACAGGAAGATGGACTTCCTCCTCCAAGGCAGCTGGTTCAGTTTGCCCTGCCATGCCCCATCTGCAGCACCCACACACGTTGCCCAGGAGGAGGTGACTGTCGACTCACCGGGAGACGAGTCCGGACGCTGCAAACGGAGCCTTCGGGAGCCACCTCCTCACCCCAGCGGCTGAGCAACGCAGCAAAGGCTTCTTGCTAGAGGCACACGCGGGACGCGTCACTCGCGCCCCAGCCTTGCGCGACGCGGCAGCCCACAGCACTGATGAGGGACGTGCTCCCGGGCCACTGCTGGTTCCCTCGAGAGCACCCAGCCATCCCTCGGTGTTGCCCATTGCCCAGGGCGCGAGGGTGCAGGCTCGCACGCAGCAGGGCTCGCTGCCAATCCCCCCGCTCCTGGGCATGCAGAGGGCTAACGGCCTCGCACGCTCTCACGACACATATCAGCCCAATGCATCCGAGCCGCACTGAGCACACAGAACAAGGAGGCAGATGGACAGCTAGACATCCTTAAAAGTGCCCTCCAAGTCCGTCTGAAATCCTAGCAGTTGGGGCAGTAAATTCCCTCCTCTCCCCTCCCTTCCCCCAACATACATTAACTCGGGATGATCCCCAGCAGTCTCCTCACTCCTGCCAATTCTTGCCCAAAGCTATTGCTCCAACAGACACCTTAATTTTTGCAGAATAACTTTAAAAATAATTAAAAAAAAAAAACCCTTGATAACCAGAAGAAACAAACAAAAAAAACCCTGCAAAACAGCACTGTACCATTGCAAAGAACTAAACGACCACTCCGCTGTGCTGCAGCACAGGTCAGCACTTCTCGGAGAGCTGCGTCAAGCTGGTTGAAGACTTTAAGGATTTATCCTCCCGCAGCGAGACTGCAGCCTTCACCAGGAAGGGGAAGAGCCCGGAGCAAGGCCCAGGAGCCCGGCTAACGCTACCAGCCTGGCTCGGGTCTCACCCTGTGCTCAAGGCAGCCAGGCCCAAGTCTCAGGATCTCAAGGACAGCGGTGTCAGCGGTGACAGTAAGAGACACTAAGTCATCAAACAGTTATAAAGGACTAGGGAGGAGTATTAGTATAGTGTTTTTTTTTGGGTTTTTTTTGTTTTTTTTTCCTCTTTTATATATATATACATATACATATATATATATATATACACACACACACACACACACACACACTCATGAACTCCAGAACCACAGACTGGGAAAACTGAGATGGAGCCCACATCCCAAGAGCCCCCAGATGTTTTCCCCCTCGCCCCCCCAACCATGAATTTGCCCAATCCCTTCTAAGAAACTGCATAAACTTCTAAGTATCCATTATATCCAGCAACAAGTTCTGCATTCAACAGGACATCATGCACGTCCACCTTGCTTGGCACCAGCCTTTCCTAGCTTTGTGACACAGAGTTGCACAAAGGCAGCTGGGATCCCTCGGTCCCCCAGGCAGCGGATGCGGGAACCCAGGGAAGCAGCACCTGCCTTCAGCCCACCTGGGTCTCACACTCCCAGGCAGGAGTAACAGCACTCAAATCCAAGAAAGGATTTTCCCCTTTTACATCTCTGAAGCCTTCAAGGACTTCAAACACTCTCATCAGAGACTCCTGCTCCTTTGTACACACCCAGGCACTATCATGCTTTTGTAAAACCTGCTTAAAAGCAGCCTAAAAAGCAAACAATACTTATGGAACTGGGTCAGCATCTGCCCCTTGGAGCAAGAAAAATCCCACTGTAAATCAGGTGATTTTCATGGCTGTAGATTTAATCCAAGAGCTCTCCCAGCAAGAACACTGTGCCAGGCTCAGCTTCCCACAGCATGGAGTTTCAAAGCAGCAGCAAGCTTTAATCAGGCAAATGCTGAGAAATGCTTTTGGAAGCAGCCCGAATCAATCAGCAAACAGGCACACAAGCAGCAGATAAGATTACCGAGCCCAGTTTGGAAGACGAGCTTCAGTCAGTTTTGTCCAAATCTCACCCATCTGCTCAGCTTCAACAAGTAACTGAAGTGCCACCAGAGAAGCATTTACACATTATGCAGAGTCCACAGTAAAGACACAGCTCTCTGGCTGCAAATCCCTCTGGTTCAAAGCCCCAGGATCTGCCATTCCCAACAGAGCAACTAGATCGATGCCGACTGCTGCTTGGCTGAGAGGAGAACCTGCAGCTTGCAAGAAAGTACAGGCTGCGTTTTTGCACTTACTTCTCTGTGCATCTAGCCACACGGAGAGAACTTGCACTGAAGAGATGATCTGGAAACCTAGCCAATCTTTGGGAAGCATCTCTGCATGGATCCAGGCCCAGCAAGCCGCCAGGAGCCACGGGTGCAGCTTTCTCGACATTTGCAGCCACAAGCTCAGCCACAGGCACACCTATCAGGCAGGCAGGAGATCTGAACAGGAACGTGCTGCGAGCATGCAAGCACAGGAAAAGCCTTGGGAAAAAGGCTCAAGGATTAATGCAAAAAAACCTGAATCCCATAGTTCTTCCAGGGGGCAGTAGCAAATGCTTGCAGGAGGTTAGCTCATTGCAAGGAGCACCTTACCTACCAGAGGCAAGGCCTGGAAAGAAAGGGAGCACAGTGCGGAGGTCTGAGCTCATTGCCCAGCCTGGCTGAAGTCTTTCTGGGTCTCGGATTGGCACTGCTGGAGAGGACAGCCCTCTGAGAAAGCAAAGGGGAGCGTGACAGGGATGTTCTCATGGAGCACAGCAAGCAGCTCCCCAGTGACAGAGGGGGAGTCGGGGCCTGCTGTGGCATCGCCTGGCTCGGCCGCTTCGCCCACGCACCCTGGGAAGGAGCCACTGAAGCAGCACACCCCGGCTCTGCAGCAAAGCATCCCCGTCCAGACTGCAAGCAAGGGCCCAGAGCCTGGGCTTTGAACAGCAATAACGGATCGCACGTGCACATAAAAATGCTTTTGGTTGTGTCCCCTTGACTTGGGATTTATAACATAAGGACAAAGTGTCTCAAACACAGGCCTGTGTTCCCAAGCTAGCACCTACCCCATACAGCTATCATTCCTCTCGATGTTGTTTTACACCCTTCTAAGTCAAATGAAGGCACACAAAATACACTCCAAATTAAAATCTATCCCTTCTAGCATTCAATGACCTGACTTGGTTCTTCCCTTACAAGCTATTACACTGACTGTGATACCAGAAGGGCTGTACCAGGCGCATTCACACCAGCTGTGTTTGGCACGATGCAGGATGGGCACAAGACCAGTTTTCACTGCAGGAACATAAGAAGCCTTTTGATGCATTAAGCACAGCAGCAGTTTAAAGAAAGCCAAGGTCAAAGAAGCAGAGCCGCCCAGCAGAAAACAAGTGTTGTGATACAGCAATTACATTTTGCAGCAGATAAGATAATAAGAGTTAGAAAGCCTGGTACCGGGGATGTGATGCCCTATTAGTGCAACCCCACATGCTGCACAGTGTAAGTTCATAAAACAGGGTGCTGCAGAGTGGTTTAAATTTTCCCTGGCACTGAGAAATGACTCTGACCTTCCATTTAGATTGCAAACTGCCTCCACAAATTGCTCTCCCTGACCATCATTACAGCCATTTGGGTGACACTCACCCGCTGCTCCTAATCTACTTAACACATGGGAGGAATGAAAAGCAGACAGAGCACAACTGGAAAACAGAAAATCGTTACCAAGATTATTTCTAGTTGCAGGATTCTACAGTTTTGGCTTTACAAGGCAATACTAAATCATTTATTTTACAGAATTAAAGCATACTAAGTGTAGTTATTTGGTAAACAGTCACTTGTAATGCTGAACTTACTGCACTGCTAGCCCAGAACTTTAACAGACCAGGCAGAACAGGCAGCATCAAGAACTACAGTAACACACACGGGACTTTACAGGTTAATAAGGAATATCTTTAACTATTCTAGTATCATCTTATAGATGGTGATTTCCATCAAGAGGCTTCTACTCCTTAAGTCATGTAAGAGAGATTAGACCGTCTTTTTAGAGGGAAAAAGATAAATATATTCTGTGACAAGATATCAGGACTAAATGACCTTCTGTGAAGAGTTCCAATGAGCAGACTGTTGAAATTTGTGCCCCGAATCCATCCGTGCTTAAATACTGATCTAAATTCTTCTCAAGCTTTCAAAAAAGCAGCACTCCCCAAAGTAGCCTCGAAGCATTTAGAAAGCAGAGCAGCACAGCTCTCATTGCAGTTCTTTGAGCCCAGGTATGCACACAAAACTGAAGTGTGTTGTCCTTTGTAACCAACAATTTGCCAGCTGGTTCCCCAGGCAAGGAAGTCAGCATTTGGTATTCAGAGCACTTGTCAATCTATGGGTCATGCAAAGACAAATTCCTGCTATTCCACAGCAAAAACAGCCCTCTGGCTCTCACCTGCTATTGTTAAAGAAATGCATCAATAGCTATAAGCAGTGACAACCCCTTATAGTCTATGGGTAACTAACGGTGTAACATGCTTTGATATGCAGGGTGCAGCAAATGCCTCCAAAGCTGTAGCTTTGACTGGGCTTGTTAGTCAAAGAAAGCAAGGGGCAAAAACCAGAAGGATCTTTCTATTATCAGAGCACTGGAGACACAGACATAATTCTGCTGCCAGCAGGAGAAAGCTCTTCAGATCTTGCTGCAGACTTTGTTGCTGAATCAGTGACCTGTTGATACAAGTGTTGCTGAAAGAAAAAAGGCCTTGGTGGTTTGCAGGTTTCCAACATTATTGTTGCCATTCGGGCTCCAGGTTTTGACCTATTTGATTAAACACAAGTAGAAACTGATAATCGATTTTCTTGTGGTTCCCCAAGGCAGAGGGACAGCACTGGGAAGCACCAAGGACACCAGAAAAGCAGCCAGTGCAGAAGAGCCTGCCTTTAATTTGGAAGCTACTTAATACAACTATTAAAAAAAAAAAAACTTATAGATTAGATGGTGATGTTGAAAGCATAAACTCAATACGTTCGCTTAGGTGAACATACTTCAGGGCTCCTCAAGGCAAAACATGTTTTTGGCAGGACAGAAAAAGATTCCTCCACTTCGCCAACATAAGCAGAAGCAAGACTTGGAGGAAAAAAAAAAAAAAAAAAACACACTCATCTGTTGCCACTGTGCAAAATCTAGTCATAGCTGTAATACTCAAACCTCAGTCTAGCTGTGGCCTGTGTTGTAACATAATTCCTCACTTAAACTGTAACAAGCTGGGGCTTCTTTTCACAGGAGAGCAAAAAACACCAGTTTTCACTAGGTTCTGAAAGGGTTTTAACAAGCCTTGTTTTAAAGCGAACAGACTAAACAGTTCCTTCCACAAGCAGGAGACTTGTGTTCTGAAATGAGCCTGCAAGGCAAGTTAATCTGTAAATCAAGCCCCTCCTTTAAATCATACACTTCTGCAGACATGCTAGGACATGGGACTTACTTGTGACAACGCACAGATGGACAAGTGCAGGCTTCAAAAAAGATTGCGTACTGACTTCACACTCCTCCTCAAAGCTCAAGAAATGCAGTTCTGCTACACACCAGCTGATGGAGATGGCAGAACCCAACAGGGCTTTGGCAGAGCTGCAATTCTGTTACTTCATCTCTTCCTACTGATACGTCATCACATTTGAACCACTTTCATCCCGGGCCTTGGGCAAAAGAAGGGACCTCTGCTCAGCAGCTGGACTGTTTCAGGAGTCAAGGTTTCTGCCTGTAATTCTGCTACAGGCCTTTATCTGCCCATCAGAAAGGCTTCATTTTTCCTTCATAGGAAGCACGCACCATGGAAATACTGGGAAAAGAAAGCTGCAGTGGGGCAGCTCTTTGCCATTTCCTCAGGGATTGGAGTGTATTCCTACAGTTCAGACGGTGTCAGGAAATGACAAATCTGAAGAAAACCGAGTCACAGCAGCAGCTTCTCAAGCAGCTCAGGCAGCAACGCTGCCATTAAAAGCAGAAGCAACAGAAACCCTCTTCACAGCACATGAATTATTGCTGAGAGCTGCTGCCCTCTGGTGTCAGACAAAATATGGCCAGAACCTGGTTTTGTTACCAGCTCCGCCTGGGGAAAGGCACCCCCCAAAACCTCCACAAGGTCACAGTGCAGCCAGGCAGCAAGGGGGTTCGCCCAGACCCCTCAGGAGAGGTCTTGCAGGCTGACGGCATCCCTACCCCTCTTGGGGGGCATCCCAAGAGGCATCCCATATGCCAAACTCAGCCTAAAGGATGATTTTACCTGGCCTAACTTCACTGCAGTTGTCTTAGAAGGAAAAGGGATTAGCCATCAGTCCAGTTTGCCAAACCACTTGCTGTTGTTCTTTAAATCATTGTATTGGGCTGTGTACACTGCCAGGGCAGGCAGATATTTTGCCCCTACCACGGCACCTAAATCAGACTGAAGGACCAAAACACATCCCTGCCATACCTGTGGGGTCACACATGGTTCTCATCTCTACCTCCACAGGAGCAGCATGGCAGGGAAGCTTCTGCCAAATACTTTGTACACTACCCAATCTGGAAAGTGCAAGGGACGACTGAGCTGATGCACCCTGCTCCACTATAGGTGCCCAGTGCCCTTTATTTCTCCCCACGCACCCCAACTTGGCTTGGGATTAAGTGGGAGGCAGTGGGTCTGCCAACTCACCTGACTTCTTCACCCGCAAAGTCGAACACTTTGGTGATCGTCAGTTTTCCTGCGTCTTTTGGCTTCTCAGGCTCTTTCGATTTCTCCTGAAACTTGCTCGCACTCTTTTCTTCCACCTGTGAAATATATGAAGGAAAAGCAAAGAGAAACACAGCCCTGCTGCTAAGGAAATTCTCTGCTTTAGCTTCAGCCTCTCACTGGAGGCCAGAGACCAGAACAGACCCAGGGCAGGAAGCAAAATGATAATTAAACACAGGAATGAGCATAAGAGAAAAGTTGTGCTTCAAAATCCAAGCAAGCTAAAGCCTAGACACTGCCCACCCCAAAGTAATTCCAATCATACAGTAAACCCACTAGCACTAGTTACCCAGAAATATACTTAATTTTGATCAAGAATGCAGGAGAAACAACCCATAAGGAACAAGAGTAAGGCTCACTCTCCCAGAAAACCTTGAGGAGGTTAACCTACACCAACAATGCCTCTATACTTAATCAGCAAGAGCTACCGCTTTTAATGGCGTGCATTATAAAAAGGACCCTTACACAATCAAGGCAACAGCTTCAATTTTGGCTTCTAACCAACTGCACGTTACACAGCTCTTAAAGACAATTTAAGAAGTTCAACAACAACAAAAAAGAGTAGAGGAACATCATCTGTCCAGAAACTGGCTTTGACTACAGAGGAACTTTCAAACTTCATTCATGATTTCAGCAATTTTTCCAATTAAGACAGCATTACTCAGAGGAGATTTTTCTCCCTCCTCCTCTCATCTTACATAGAACTGCCCCAGCTGTTCAGCCAGTAACAACTCCAAGAGGAAAGTAGATATGAGAGCTCATCTGAAAAGGACTCTTCCTCGAAAAGTTACAAGCAAAGTAATTACAAAGCCACAGGTGCCCTGTGACTTTAAACACAGTAGCAAAAATAAACCTCATACAGTGTTGATGAGGACTTTGTGTTCAACACATCTCGCTGCTTCAAGTCACAGTCTCCCTTTGGAGCTCACAAGGGAAGGCACCACCTTGCCATGTAGCCTCGGGCCCACAAGCGCAACCCGACCAGGACCTCATCAGGCTGCTCATGTTTTTCCATGGAAACTCCATGACCAGGAAGGGAGGACAGCCACAGCACAGCCCTAGACCCTACGAGAAACCCCAAAAGCAGCACTAGCACAACACAGACCCTGCCTGCTCCCACAGAAAGCAGCTGCTGCCAACCTGCCCCGCCAGGCTCCATGCTAGGGGTGAGGATGAGGAGGGAACAGAGCTTTCCTACTGCTCTGACCAGTAGCTGTTCCCAGCTGCACTGACAATTTCCACCTTTGCGCTTTATGGCTTCAGACCCATCCCAGAGCCCCAGGCCCATTACCTTGCTGTTCTGTGCCTCTTGGGCAGCAGTCATCACCTTGGGTCTCTGCCCCACATCACTAAGGAAACTGGCCCAAAGAGCATCCTCTTTCTTCTTTTCTTCTTCCTCCCTGGCCCTTTCAGCCTGCTTTAAGCTGTCCGCTTCATCATCATTGGGCTGAGCCTCATCTTCCTCATCTTCACCTGGCTCTAGCAGGAGGCCCCTTTTCTTCCTCTTCCTGGAAGCAGAGGCAGGAGCGAGCACAGAGCCACCCTGACCCCGTCCCGGAGCCACCATGCGGGACACAGAGCTCGGAGCTTCCTGCTCGGAGCTCATGTCCGGGAGATTCCCCCTAACCCACAGGGGCCCCTGCTTAAGCGGCAGCCTCTGGAAACGCGGGGCAGAGCCCGGGAAGGGGCCGCGTCTGCAGTCCCGCAAGAGGCCGAACGTTTTCCGGGGGCAGGAGGAGAGCACGCGGAGCCGCCTGGAGCGGGCGCGGCCCGGGGA